ATGTGCCCCTCGGCCAGATGYGTCTGCTCCCACCTTCCCTTTGTTAGGGCCCAGCACTGAGGCGTGGGGACCTGGGGTCTGAATGTAGATCTGACTCAAAAACCTACATTGTTTCTGTGCTGCTAGTTTACTGCCCTGAGAGATGAAACCCACAAACCCTGGCCAATTAGCTTTTGTTAGATTGGCCCTTGATGTGCAGACATTAAAAAAACTAGTGCTGGGGCGATAGCTCAGTGCCAGAGTGTCTGCCTAGCTTGTGTGAGGCTTGTGTGGGTTTGATCCTTAGTGCCATATAAAAGTACATAAAATGAAGGCATTCTGTTCATCTACCAAAGAAAACAAACAAACAAACAAACAAAAAAAACTTATAGCAAAACTGTCATTGCCTCAGTGACCTTGTTCTTTGGTTCCTGTTAAGAATGTGAATGTTCACATTTATAGGGTTTCGACTGCTTCATTTCACATTTAAATATCATGTCTCTATAATTTATTTTAGCACATAGCAGAAGCAAAGATCTAAGTCCTGATTTTTGCTTTCACAATGGTCCTTTGTCCTGCCAGCGTCTGGGGACAAGTCCATCCTTTCCAGCGTGATTTGAAATGCTGCCTTTTTTCCCAGATTGATTTCTGGGAAATCAATGATGAATGATGGCTCCATCCACTGCAGCCAGGCAGGGAGCTGGATTTGAGGTGGGTGGCCCCTGGCCGTCTAGCYTTGGGAGAGGGTGAGCCCGATTCGGCCACACTCCAGAGGCCATGGGGGGAAGCTGCTCTGTTCTTGCTGGAAATGGGTGCCGCGGCAGGTGATAAAGATTAAGCAAGTAAGGGGCAACKCGGTGCTGGGGAGGAGAGAACATGACATCTTGGAGTACCTCTGCTCCCGGGGTCACTCRCACTTAAAGGAGTGTCACGTTTGTGATGCTCAGAAACCATCCTGACGCTGCCTACTGGCTCTACTGCCCCAGGAAAGTCACAACCGCCCCCCTCCCCATGTGACAGCGAAAAGGAATTCATGTTTAAGTTAAAGCCTGTTGAGGGTGCCTGCTYCACTCCACATTCCCATCCACCCTTGGCTCAGTGTTCTGCTGTGGCAGCTTGAGGCCGGCAGGGGGGGCACTTGGACAGCACAGTGATGGATCTTTTAAAAGGTTCCACCATTAGAGCATGGCTTTGCCTGTGCGTGTTATCTGTCATGCTTATGTTGATAGGAATAGAGTGCCCCCTCCAAGAGGCTGGAATCAGTCTCTGGGCAGGGGAAGATCATGGGAGGGTGATGGAGTGGRTGGGGTCAGCGTTGGTTGTCCAGTTGTTTCTCACAGGTGGTTTCTCTGAGCTGACATTGGGCTACAAGGTGAGCTACTGGCCAAGACCTCTTAGGGCAACTTGAGGCTGTTCTTGAAMAGCGATCATTGTGGGTTTCTGGGTCATCCTGGGGAGCAGCTCTTCTCCAAGACTTTTCCTATGGAGTATTAAAGGTTTCAGCTGCCAAGTCTTGAGTGGCAGTGTTGAGGACTCCATCATCTGGTACCTAAAGAGCCAGAACCCAGATGCTTGCTCAGTCTCTTCCAGTGACACAGTGAATTGTGGCTGGGGATGGGTTCCTGTGCTGCCCATGATGATCTAGTCTGCTGCTACAGTATGGAGAGCACTTCAAATAATTCTCTATTTCTCAAGGTTGAGGTCCTGGGTGAATCCCACAACTCCTGAAACAGTATGCAGTATAGACTGCATACCTGTCCTTGTGAGTATGCACTGCTGCTTTGATCCCACCTCTGTGCCCTGCCTTTGGAGAGAAAGTCACTCATCATAGTGATCTTAATACATCTTCAAAGCTACTACATGCTGGATATTGTTCCAKGCACCTCATTTGCATATGACTTTATTGAATCCTTAGATGCTCAGACTCAAGACAGAGTTGTATCTATAAAATTGGATTTTTAACAGAGKGTCAGTAACTTGCTCAAGGTTTCCCAGGTTTGGAGCCGGAATTCGAGCCCGACTGCAGAGAGTGCTCTAAAAACCCTGAACCCTGCTGCATATGCTGCTCTCTSCACCAGTTTGGAGCTTCAGCCATCCCACAGGAGTGTGGCGTTGCCCACCTTGTAGTTTCCAAGGCAGATACATGTCCTTGGTTACCCTGAGGTGAGTGGTTGAGCAGCAGTTTGAACTCGGATCTGCTTGGCCCAGAGCCGTTGATGGCAACTTTCCACGAACCATTGGGGCGGAAGCTGCTAGAACTTCTGATTCTCTTTTTGCCCTCTGGATCCTCCCGCTCTTGGTCTTTTCCAACTCTTGAATTCCCTCAGGGCAAGTTTTTCAACCTTAGGCCTTAGAGAGGATTTAGAAGTCCACTGGGACTCCTATGGGGACCTGGAATGAGGTAGCCAGAGAGTGGAAATGGAGCTGGTTGGGGCTCAAGTGCTGCTAGGCACATAGAAAACATTTACTCTGTGACAGCTGCTGTTTTGGCCACCAGCTTTAGGTGTAGAGGGGCTAGGGAGGAATGGTCTCTTGGGCCACTCGTTCACAGAACTCAGATCCATGCACCTCGACAAAGCCCTCAATGTGAAGGAGCTGTGGATACCAAGGTGCATGACATGCTGTGTGCTTTGAAGTCATGCACACCTCGGCAGACAGGTGACTAATAACTGCATACCTTGCAATGTGCTGCAGGGTGGTGGGGTCAGGGAGGCCTTCACAAAAGAGGTGCCTTTTCATCGGGGCCTTGAGACTGGAAGTGCGGGACGAGCTGAGGGAAGATGGGTTCTGGCCAGGAAATGCATGAACTAACATGCACTGGGTTATTATCTTGGGTGAGAATCTCTGTGGATAAGGCCAAGATGGTTGAGCCACGGTTGCTCTGGAGGGTCTMTCGGGAGGCCACTAGACCTCCCTCTCTGAGCATAGGGAAAAGGTTGGGTGGTATTCAGGAGCTGCTGGAGTGACAGATGTCAGCACATGACCACGGTGGTGGTGAACAACTCCTTCAGGGCCCTGAAGGCGGTGCAGTCCAGTACACCCCTTCTCTGAGCTCAGGCAGCAGAGGAGCATGCACTGCCACGTGCCATCTGTTGTGCTGTTGCCTGCCCTAGGCTCAGTACAGGCAGTCCATCCATGTTGACCAGGTCTGCACAGGACGTTCCACCACAGCAGACACGTGGCTGACTGGGATGCCCAGCGAAGGGGGGGGGGTTTCTTTGTTTATAATGAAATGTCACCTATTCCAGCCTCATTATACAATTATGAGCGTCTTATTTTTTTTCTCTTATGAGACTTGGGCCAGCCAAGAACTATAAGGGGAAAGAAACTATAAGAAAACTCAGAATTCARATGGGCTTTGGAGTAAGGAGCTACTCCTTAAGGTGTCCCAACACGAAGCTGCCACTTGTCCTGGGCTTCCTGGAGATAAGAGCCAGAGAGTGTTTATCCTGCTTGTCTTCCAAAATATATTGTGTCTAGGGTCCCTGCCCCATGATAACATGAGAATAAATTACTTTTTTTCCCCACAGATTTATCAGCGTTTCCATTTTAGTATAATTAACTCATATAGCATTATGATGAGTTCTAAAGGGCTAATGCTTATAGCCATAGCTGAGAGAGGCATGGTCCTGATAGCACCATCCTATCTRATCTCTCCTCTGGTCCTTGCAGCACCCCAGGGAGGCAAGAGGGTAGGTACTGCTCCCCTTCGTGCCTGAAAGAAGGCCTCTGAAAAGCTGAGATGCTGGTTCAAGGCTCTGATCAAGGACCCTACCTAGTTGAGTTCAGAATGAAAATTCTTCCAGACTCGATCATCATAGGCAAATGTGAATGTGCTTTTTTGTGAGTCCTTCCTTGGGAAGGTGCTTGAACCCAGTAGGGCTCAATAGATGTTGAGTGTGTGAATGAATGAACATGTTTACTCTGGGCCACCTCAACTCCCGCAGAGCATGGCTCAGGTGGGCAGCTTGCTGTGCTCTGGCTTTACCCATTTCCTATCCTGTGCCTTTCTCCTGGGGGTGGCCTTTGTTTTTCAAGACTGCTTAACTCTACTGTGGACTTACTGACCCTACTCTTCCTTTTGCCCCTCTTCTTTCTAATCTTTATTATTCTTTTCCAGAAATGTGTTTTTTTTGCTGTTTAAAAACAATTTSAAGATCGAGAAATTTTGCAAGGGTCATACATAACTATGGTCTTGAAGTATGGTGCTAGGAATTAAATCCCTCAGTGTCTGTTGTGGCCTCGTCATCTGGGCCTGTGTGCTTCAGTGGTTTGAAGTACACATTCTCCTGCTAGGTGCACAATTTTTGCTATGAGCTTCTAGTAGCCAGTCTTCGGAGGGTGATATAGTTCCTAGAGTCCATTAAAGGAAATAGACCAAACAACTGTAGCTCTCTAGGAAAAATCAAAATTCCTGATCTTAGGTCCGAGTGACTTGGACTAATGGCAACACTTGGGTTTGATGTAGATGGGAGTGTGGTTTCTACCCAGGCAGGCTTTCCTATGGAGGATGTTGGGGAAGTAGCTTCTGAGAGCGAACATGGCTGGGTATTGAAGACCCCAGTTGTGTTGCCCATAACTAGCCGTAGAGGGGAGCGAAGGGAAAGCCCGGTCCTTGACTAAACCTGAATAACTACCTCTGTGCCATTATGGAGCCAGGGTCACTCGATCTCCTGTCTAGGTTGATAAATAGCTTTAATAGGGAATAAATCATTGTTCAAAATAGAGGCTGTCCAGGATCGGGGGACTTGGGAAACATTAAGGAATCGCAAGCCAAATGTGTTCACCAAGGAAGTAGCTCTTTATTTGTTCTTATCCTGCCCTGCCCTTCCACTTTGTGTGGCTGATGGAAGTACACAGCTGAGCCTACTGGATCTCTAAGACTGTGCAGGAATTACTTTTGAAAGGAACAAGGAACTTTCCAGACAAGCTGTCCTAAGGGCAGATGATCCAGCGAGGTGAGGTGATGGTCTGACAGGCAAGATCTGCTGATGGACTTTGACTTTGCTTTCTTTCCTTAGATGAACTACGACAAGCTATCGTGGCTATGATGAACAGAAAGGATGAGCTGGAAGAAGAAAACAGGTACCGTGCTTCTTAGTCTGTTCTGATCTTCCTCAGGCAGAGAATTAACAGATGAAGGCAGTTTTGCTTCACTGGCAAGTGCGACTGGTGATGTCTTAGTTTCTGTCTGGCTGTGCCACCTGAGTGTCCAGTGTGGCTTACGTGCATGCAAGGAATGAGAACCTTGAATAATGGCATCACCTTAGAACAAGAATTTTGGAATAACAGCCTTTGATTCTCTTTAAAAAGTAGCCTTTATTGAGATAAAATCCACACTCCCTACAGCTTGCCCATTGAGCATGTGCAGGCCAGCAGTTTTTAGTGTTTTCACAGATGCGTACGATCATTACCACAGTCAATTTTAGAACATTGTTATCACTTCAGAAAGAAGCCCCTGGACCACCCCTTATCCCAAAGGCCCTTTGGAGTGGCCTTTGATCAAGGGCCTGTGTTAGGGTCCAGGCACTAACACTGTCTGAGGGTTTGTCCAACCCAGGGATACTGAGCAGGTGACACTTGAATTCTCTGGAGTTGGCCAAAAGCTCCTTGAAGACATCCAGAAGCAAACATCTTTATTCTTTCCTTCCCTGTTGAAACCAGTGCCAGACGCCACCTGCTGTTGGCTTTTGTCTGCTGTTGGGCTTCTCCTCTGCCAGAACCTGTCTTGGCYATGGTGTGGCTGGTAGGGGCCTGCCTGCCATTAACCAGGAAGGGGCCCCACCTGGGGAGGCAGCAGGCCAGTACCACTTCACAAGCTTCTTCCCCATCCTTTATGGAATGTGAAAGCAAATGAGTGTGATCTGTTTAAAAAAAAAAAAAAAAAAAAAAAAAGAGTGTGTTTTAAAAAGAGTCCTTACAGACGGCACCATTTTCCAGCTAAAATGCACTTTCCACAAAGGGCCCAAAGCCCTGGCTCCAGCGGGAGCTGTTTGCTGGGAAGGAGCCACAGGATTTATTTTCCCTTGTGAAGAACCGAACTCATTGTCATTTTTTTCTTCCCAGAGAAGGAAAAAAAATCAGTGTGTTGGTKCCAGGGCTTCCAGGCCCGAGAGGGGAGTCTCCCCAGTTCCCCAGGAGCACAGGTCTTGAGGGAGTCAGTGAACAGTGGGCTAGGCTTGGGGCCTGGTGCTTTTGGCTGCACGCTGGTGTTTTGTGGCAATGTCCTGGATTGTGCAGGTGCACCACAGTCGGTCACTGTCACTAGAACTAGCCACTTGTGCATAGTGAAGGAAATGGTCTACAGAACCACGTGAGGCTTGTTTCTGGGTGGAAACTTGAGGCGAGCTACTGGTCTACTCCCTTTTTGAGACCGGGAGTGAYAGACACACGAGAGAATGTTTTGGAGGGGAATGTCAAGTGCCAGCCCTGCCGCAGCACAATGCTTGCTCAGCTGGAGGTGCCGAGGAAGGCCAGGCTCCCTGTGTGATGTGGGTGGTGGGCAGGGAGGCTGGACAGCTGTCGTATCATCCGAGTGTATATTCTGTTTTTATGCCCCAGATATTCTTTTGGTCTCTCCTGACATCCTTTCCTTGGCTACATCTCTTACTCGCTGCATCTGTGACAAAATGAGTCCGAATAATATCCTGCACCTTTTGGGGGTGTGTTTTTAAAAGGACTTCCCTGGGACTTGTCAAGTCCTTGCTCTGCCTTGATCCACACAGTCAGATGGCCGTCCGCTCCTGGGAAAGCGGGGACATGGGGCCTGACTGCAGATGACTGCCCTGGGCTCCTCGTAATTCTTGCCCTCAGGTGATTGGCAGTGTTAGCTATCTCCTGAAATAAGTTTCTATGAAATAGACTTGACTTAGAATTTGTGCAGAGTCCTGTGGACAGTGAATGAGTCTGGACTTGGGTCAAGAACAGTTTTCTGGGCTTGATGAACCTGTTTGATGGCATCTGARCAGTTGGGCCCCTCTTCCCAGATCCCTGCGGAACCTGCTTGATGGCGAGATGGAACATTCGGCTGCRCTCCGGCAGGAGGTGGACACCTTGAAAAGGAAGGTGACCGAGCAGGAGGAGCGGCACACCATGAAGGTCCAGGCTTTGGCAAGGTAGGGGGGGCAAGGGTGGAGGTGAGCGTGGGGGCTGTTACAGGACTGTGYACTTTTCACATGTATGCCTTAATAATAAGAAGAAAGCAACCAAAGGAGACAAAATTTATCTACGTTCACTCAATAAGTGATGTGTATGCACATGGTTCAAAATAATGGAGGTTAAACGTTGAGTCTCTGCTCAYGGGTCCCAGCCAGCTGGTGCTCTCTGGATGCCCTCGCCATTGCCAGAGAGGTTCTGTGTCCCCACACRACAGCGTGTGCACATGTAGCTGGCCAGTTTCTTTCCCACTCGCCYCTCACTTCACATCTTAGGGAGGATCTGTGTTGTTGTGTCAAGGGGCTCCCATCTTCCTTGTCCSGTTACTGTGTCATTGTCTGATTGCACCAGAGTTAGTTTAACCAGTCTGCCAGTAGCTGAGTATTGAGGATTTTCCAAYGTTGTGACTACTAATAGTGCCACAGCCAATACCCCTGTGCCGTCACGGTGTCCCTGTGTGAGTGTGTTTATTGGAAGCATTCCCRGAAGTAGACCTGCAGGTCAAGGTGCCATTCTAGGCTGGGTGGCAGCCTCTGCTGCCCTCTCCAGGTGTTTGTTGAGCCACGCTTCTTCCACAGCAGCCTGCGAGGTGGCGCTGCTGCCCAGCTGTGTAGAGCATGGTAGGATCCAGGTTTTGAGTCTCTGATAATATCACAGGAGAAGAATGAGGCTGGCAGAAGATCTTTCATTTCTGTTTCTCTGGTTATGGGTATGATGGAGCTTATTTTTACTTAAGAGCCATTTTTTTTTCTGTGATGTTTATCTTATTAAAACTGTAGTGAATTAAAAAAAAAACCCCAGCTCCCATAAAACATCATTTTGTACTGAACGTGTCTTCTGAGTTGCACCCACAACCTCCAGCCTGTCGTTTCCCAGCCTGCCTCCTTGCTCGGCTTCCTACTGCAGAAGTGGTTTTTCTGGTAACCTTTTTTATATACCTGGATGAGTTAMTGTACCATATTAAATTGACTAATTTAATATGGTCAATTTACCATTTGGGTAGTTTCCAGTATTTCACCCCCATTTTAGGTGAGATAAGCAGTTTGTTGGTGGTTCCTCAAAAATTGCTTTTAAATTAGATCAGGAGAGAAATGTATTTCGCGGCTGTGTCGGGGCTCAGAGTCGGGTGCATTTGTAATGGTAGCTCTTCCATCTTGGTGCTGCCAGGTGACRTAAGCAGCATTTGTATCATTGACATGTGTCTGTCACCTTGACCTCTTATCCAAGCCCTACTCTTCTAGTTTCCCCCCTTTCTTCAGGTTCTAAAATGATGTCTTGAGAACATCARAGCCAGTTAAACGATAATCATAAATAGAGTGACTTGTAGCATTTTGTTAGCTGGTCCTTCATTTCTCCTGGCCATGCTAAAACCCTGTGGCATGCTTGCAATCAGTGTCTATAGGAAAGGCTTCAGTCTTCAGAGAGGTCAGTTCTGAATCATCAGTGACAGAAAGGATTATATTCCTTGTCATTTACTGACTTGTGTAAAGACTTGGCTTACACTCAAGTTCCCGTTCCATTACTTGCAAATTGTGTTTCCGGGTGAACTACTTAACTTCTGCAAGCATGTGTTTGCCCATCTATGAGATGGAGAGGGCAATCTTACCCACCCAGGCAGACTGGATGAGGAGGGAACAGGGTGCATAAGGTGTTGGGTGTGTATGTTGTTGGGAGCGTTGTCTAAAGGGTATTTTGGAMTCCGATAATTCTGGGAAAAATTTTATCCCATAAATAGGGTAGAGAAAAACAATTTCTTGACTAGGCAGTTGTATAATATGAAGTCTCCTCAAGGGAACAATGGGTTTAAGCGATTTGAGAGTTTGTGGTTTGCAGGTAGAAGGTCATCTGTTCAACAGGTGATTATTACAGAAGGAGAGAATGGAACAAAGCAAAGTGGTCAGCCGGATGTGTAAGTTTGGAGAAGGTCAATTGCTGACAGAGTTCCTCTCTGCCGGCTGTCAGAGCTTTCTTCTGGTTTCTGGCCGCAGGAGGAACAGCTGTTTGCTGGCAGACAGGACCTGCTGAGGTGGTGGGTGCTGGGCTGGGAGGGCTGTAGCCAGTGGGACAGTGAGTGCCAGGCTGGCAGTGAGTTTGCACTGGCCCCATCCTGCTCTCAGGCCCACGTGTGCCCCCAGGGGCAGGTGTGACAAAGCAGGTGATCATTGAGGGTCAGACTGTGGCTCTGTTCCTTCCTAGTGGTGTGACCTTGGGAAGTTACTTAATCTCTTTTGGTTTTCTTAGTTATAAAATGGGGATAAGAAAATTCTCTGCCTCGTTGAGTTATTGCATGAATAAAAYGAGAGAGACCATTTGTCATCTCAATAAATATGCTTCCCACAAGCTTAGTAAATGTTAACTATCATCATTTTTCTTTAATATAAAAATTATGTTACTAAGAGACGTTGCCTAATCAAAAGATATATTTTAACAGCAATGGTATGGAAAGAACGGTGCAGGCTACTTTAGATTCAGAACTGTGGAGTTTATTTTGTGTAAACATTCTAATACCAAGCATGTATTTGTGTGTTTTACTGGCTTTGMGTGTATATTGTGAGGCTGAAACATCACTGAGCAACTTCTGCATTTGATTACAGATTTCTTTTGCTAAAAATTAATGGCTTTCCTTTCATCTGTCACAGTTCGACCAAGAACGAGTTCATGTAACTAGCTCAGTGCTTTTGTGGCCCTGAGCACCTGCTAGGCCCCGATGTGGAGGCATTACAGTCAGATGCAGTTAGGACTGTGCCAGTCACATTCTTCTAAATAATTGATTGCCTTGCTTCCTGCTGAATTAAGAAAACTCAAACTATGAGGCAGATGTTCAAAGAAAGAAGATAAAAGTTTACACTGAGAGGGAAGTGTCAGACTCTTATGCTACTGTGACAGGCTGCCACAGACAGGGTGATCTAGAATGGACAGAAATTTACTGGGCTCATGGTTCTGAGGCTGGAARTCCAGGATGGGAGGCGCTGCATTGGCCAGGCCCTCTGCTGAGTCATGGTGTGGCGGAAGCATCACAGAGGAGAGCGTGTGAGAGGGAAGAGAGTGGAACTCGCTTCTTTTAAACAATCCGTTCTTGTGGTGAGGACATTAATCCACTGGAGAGGGTAAAGCCCTCTTGACCTAACCACCTCCCGACATTGCACAAGGAATTAAGTTTTCTCTAACACCTGAACTGAGGGGGGACACAAGCATCATAGCAAGCAAATAAACATGGTGGTTGGATTGTGGTGGGGACGTTTTCTATTTCTGCTTATTGTATTAATTTGTGACACAGCAAGAGATAACTATCTCCAAACTTRTTTGTTTAAAACAACAAATATTTGTAATCTTTTTTGTGAGGAATCTGGGAATGACTTGGCTGGGGGGTCAGGGGGTCTCAAGAGGTGGCTGCTGGCCAAAGTTGCTGCCATCTGAAGGCTTGGCYGGGACTGGAGGGACCATTCTYATGTTTACTCACGTGACTGAACAGGCAACTTTGGCTCCTGGCCCTATGGGCCTCTYGTTAGGGCTGTGGACAACAGTAGCCGATTTCCCATAGGGCATAGCTCAAGAGCGAGAGCATACTGAAGATGTCAGCCATTATGTTTTGATAACCTGATCTTGGAGCTGACACCACTTCCACTGTATTTTCTAGTTACACAGATCAGCCCTGATGTAATGTGGGAGGGGAATACACACAAGGCAGGGGCCATCTTGAAGGCTGCCCCCATGACCATCAGATTGTAGCTACATATGGGGACTACAGGCACTGCAGAGAAAGAACCAGCAGTTTGCATCTCTCTAGAAAGATTTATTGTAAGTACTGGCCAATGTGGGCATGGATGATAATGGCTTGCATGTGCCCGTGGTCTATAGTGTGCAGGCTGGAGATCGGGGATGCTGGTGGTACAAGCACAAGGTCTGATGTCCAGAGGGTGCTGTTACAGATGCAGTCTGAATTGGAAAGGCCTGAGAATTGAGAGCACCAAGGGCAGGAGAGCAGTGATGCAGCTCGAGAGAATTCGTCTTCCTGTGTGTGTGTGTGTGTGTGTGTGTGTGTGTGTGTGTGTGCGCGCGCGCTGCTCGGGCCTCCATGGAGTGCATGATGCCAGGCTCATGGCTGCAGGCTATCTGCCCTGCTCAGTTCACCAGTGCAAATGCGAATCTCTTCTGGAAACGCCCACAGGCTCAGAGAGATGATGTTTAAGCAGATACCTGGGTATCCTGGGATCCCTTCAAATTAACACAAGATTAACCCTTATTCTACCCTGGATCTCTGTGGTGAACTCCTCCTCCTCCTCCCCACTCTGTCCACGTGGTTTGATGGGGTTGACCCCATCCTTCCCCTCTAYCCGCCATGCTTTGGAGGAGATTGGCTGATCCAGGCCTGGACAGTCAATGACTCCATCCCTCAAATTTTTGGYGACTTTTATGCCCTGTGGGAAGATCCTAGCACCAAGTGGCACCAACATGGTGGAGAAATGGGAGTGAAAATCAACAGTTCCTGACAATGTYGTTTGAGCTGCTGGATCCAATCTTTCCTGAAGATGTTTTTCCTTCTGGTATTTTTAAGTGCATTGCTTTTGTTCTTTGAGTGAGAACCAACCACAGGCTGGCTCAGTTGTAATGTTGAGTCCTGACTGAGGGGGGGTTCTGGTTTGGGTGTTGGCCTGGAGCAGATTGGGTGTTCTCTGGGTCTCTGTAGATTCACCCTTTCAACTGTGAACCTGCCAGATCCAGGAAGGGACTTCTCCTTTGTGGAGATTTACCAAGGGGTGGAGACGGTGTTCTTGCTGGTTATTGGAACAGCTCTGCCCCAGGCTGCTGCTCCTGTCTCTCCTGTGGGGCCGGCTTAGCAGGGTCCTGTGGTCAGCTTTTCCCTTCTGCTGGGTGGCTGAGCACTATCAGAGGTGGGTCACGTTTTCCCCAGCCCCTCCTGAAGCCYCTGGGTCCTCTTCTCCTTAAACACTTAGGCTTG